GACAGTGGCCGAGTGCGCTTCAGTGTTGGACGGGATGGAGGGAGACTTTGAGATGGTCCCCCCAATGTTCAAGAAGCAGAAGGAATGGGTCCCACAGGGTAGAACTGACAAGGAAGGTCAGGGAGCCAAGCAAGGGGATGCCATCTCTAAGCCTGTGCCACGTAGGATCGTGTGTTTCCTTTGCAACCAGGAGGGACATGTTAGAGCCTCATGCCCAAAGCTATCTAAGGAGAGAGCTGGAAGCCCGCCGAAATTTGTTAAAGTGGTCAAAAAGACTGAACCACAAGCTGTAGAACCTACTCCTGAGGGAGAGCCCATCAAAATAATGAGGGTTTGGAGTATAGACCGTGGTGTTAACAAAGAATACTTAGAAGAGGTCCAAGTTAATGACCAAACGCTAAGGGGACTGAGGGACACAGGCGCTGACGTGTCTCTGGTGCGCCCTCATATAGTTGAGAAGGACCAGATAGTGCCAGGAAAGAAGTGGACACTGAAAGGAATAACTGGTCCCAGCTTTGAAGTAGACGTGGCAGAAATCCCTGTCAAATACAAAGATTTTTGTGGTAGGTGGAGAGTAGGGATTCTGTCAGACATGGAGGTCCCTGTGTTAATAGGGAACGATCTGTCAGAACATACACTGAAGATCAATGCTGTGACTAGAAGCCAGGCAGAAAGAGCGGGAATTTCTGAGGAGGGAAAAATCACCTCAGAAATGGCTCTAGGCTCAGAATGTAACAGCACTGAAGAGTTCCCTGTAATGTTGCCATCTAGTCAGCCAGCTGAGTTTCTGAGGGAACAGCGACGTGCTGAAGATTTAAAGGCCCTGTGGGAAATGGCTGTGTCCCAAAATGCCAGACCCACAGAGAAAAAACCTGCCATCTATAACACCAGAGGGATTAAACTAGTGAAAGTAGTGAGATAAAGAGAAGCCCTGAATGAGGTGGTGAAAGAACAACTTGGAGAAGACAAGGAGCCTGTGACAAGACAGACAGTAGATCAGGGTCTTGTCACTGAAGCAGATATGACCGTAAAAAGCGCAGGAGGTCTAGAGTGTGGCTCAGACCCAGTTTTGGCAGTGAAGACACATTTAAGGCATAAAAGAGAAATCGGCTGTGCCAAGGAGGTTGTGGCAAAGGCGGCAGACTGGCACCAGAAAGTTCAGCCAGGGACTCAAAGCTGTTTGTCTGTCATCAAGGGAGCCACAAGGCTAGCTGCGGTAGCCGGGAAGGTGGTCCAGGAAGATGAGGGGGACAACAGTGACGGAGCTGACCCTAGGCTGGATGGCGTGGTCAAGAGAATGGCACCGAGGGTGACCAAGGGGCCCGTCATGGTGGCCAGGGAAGCCGAAAAGCCAGCAACCAGAAGCACGGTTGAGTTAGTCTCCGAGAAGCCGATCGTGTGTTCCAGCGAAGCCGGAAGGGAAACGGTCAGCGGCCCAAAAACATCTAAAGCTACCTCAACGTTACAGAAGATGGTGCAGGAGAGAGGGAGAAGGAGAAAGCTGATGGACAGCAGCCCAGCGAGGTCTGGGACTGCCTCAACATCAAAGCAGACGGTGCAGGAGGGAGAGAGGAGAAGAAAGGCGATGGTCAACAGCCCGGAGAGGTCGGAGATCGCCTCAGTGTTCGAAAAGAAGCAACGGCTGGAGAGCGAGAGCGAGGCGGAGCAGTCTCGTGGTCATCTGGAGAGGAGGAAGGTCGTCCCTCGAGGAGGCCAGCGAGTCATCCACCGAGGTCGGAGGACAGCGGAGGAGAAGCCCTCTCAACATCGAAAAGGGACAATGTTTGGTACCTTTAGTCCAGTACCAGCAGGACTGAGATTAAGCTGTGAGACAGTGTGCTCAGACCATTGGACATTGCCCAGAGAACCAAATTCTCACGGAACCAAGGTTGTAGAAAAGATTTTGCCAGAAACTGAGGAGAAAGTGACTCTGTGTAGGGGAGGTAGAGTGTACTCAGTTAAGGCAGATTTGGAGGGAAAATTTAAAGATTGCAATGTTGAACAGAAACAGCAGGTGGAGCTGGTGCGTAAGGTCCAGAGAGTGTTACATAGAGATGACACTGTCTCAGCTTCAGCCTGGGAAGAAACATCTGAAGATAAGAAAATGGGGTTTGAATTGGCTGTTGATAATGTTAATTTGAGAGCCAAAGGGAATAGGATTTGTGGCATTGGGTGAAGTATTGCAAGGTTCAGACCCTTCATATTTTCCATGCCAAAGTTTGTTCCCAATTCAAATTTGAGTGTGCCAGCAAACCAAAGCAAACCCCAGGGTAACTTTAAAAACTTACTCCGTAGTCATCTAGAAGTTTCTTAGTTGTATAGAGGTAATACAAAATGATTATTTGCAATTTGAAATGTTTGAATGCAAGTTAGAGCAATACCTTGACTGTATATAGATGTTATATAATGCATTATTGAGTATGGTAGAGTAATTTTACAGGTAAAATTACATGATAGAGTATAGTATATAAGGTAATTGTATTTATAGAAGGTATTGTATAATGTATTATATCTAACATGCTTTTTCCTTACAGCTTTGTATATTGTATTGACTGTATTATTTGCATTGCAGGATTGCATAGATAACATGCATAGTATTGTATAGTTTATAATTGTTATTTAGCATGCAATGTAATGTTAGATAGGAATGT